TTTGTCAGTACATAAATAAAAATGAAATTTAAAATAAACTTAAAACATTTTATTTCTAAAACTATCAACAATAATAATAATATAAATTAATTACTCTAATATATAATGAACCATTTTGGATTGGATCTTTGGAATTGTAGAAAGCAAAGCAATCAAAATCTTTACATATCATTCTGTCATTTCACTTTGTTAAATTCCTACTATCTACATTTTAAAAAGGTGTCAGTTGTTGGGCTATTTAGTGTGGGATTAAATTTTTTAAAATGTTTACATTTACATCGTAAATAACTGGAACTGTTATCCTTAAAAAGTGATGAAATTTTTATTTCTGCTTAAAAATAATTTGTGTGTGAGAAAAAGGAGGATTTTGGGTTTGGATTTCGGGTTTGGATTTCAAAGTGGTAGCCTGAGTGCACTAGAATGCTGTCAATAACACCACTTTTGTTTTTTCCAAAGGAAAAATCAGTAAAAACCCATTTTTATGTTTTTTTTTCTTTTGGAAAGAAATACATAAGATGGGTATTCAAAGTTTGCACTAATAATTTATGAAACAAACAGGTACATTTCTACCATAAAATTAAACATACGACTGCCAAATTAATGCTGAGATAATGGCATCACTATGGACCTTTGTATTTGCAATCATCTTCGTCATGGTTACTGATCTTTTTCTCTAATACATACTTATATAAAAATGCTCTTTTTTTTTCAACAAAATATCAAAGTGCTTATTGCACAACTAACATGTATACATAATTGAGGACAAAAATGTAAAATAAAAATGCAATGGATTAATAATACACGATGATAAGAAATGAAAACCAGGCAGGTGCATGTTCATAAATTCTGAAATTGAAACAAAATTAAATGCTGCTGTATAATACTGATTAAAAAATAAAAAAAAAATAAAAAGCAATAAATTACACTTGCATCAATAGTACTGTTTTCAAATTGAATCTTTCAATATGCTATCATATACCTATTGCAGGTCTTAAAGGTAATTTATTTAACTGCAAACAATTTACTAATATTACAACATGCTAAAAAAATCTCCTCCCATCTATTTCCACTTTGGTATGCAGAACTGATAAAAGCACCTGACCAAAGCCGTTTTTGCTATAGCAAATAAAATTTGATACACACCAAAACACAAGCTAGGCTTTCCCCCCTTTGTTTTGGCCTTAGATGGTACAAGGTGGTGCTATGCCCTCTTTAGGCCAGTGGCTCAGCTCATAGTATTCAATATCTACTGCACTTAGCAATAAAATCTTGGTCAAGAGAGGATTATATTTATCCTTGCATGAGGGACAATTTTGGGAAGTTTGGATGTTATATATATCCACATTTTAATTCATTTTGGTATTCTAGTTGAAATAACTGTACCTCAAATGGGTTTTCTTCCAATAGTGCTTCCTTTATAGTTACTACACATACCTTAATAACTTTTTAAGAGAATGCATATTCAACCTTACCAAGATTGTCCCTTGACTGTCCTCATTTATTGTCTACTCTCATTTCAACCCAAATTGGGCTTCTTTGGGAAATTCTTTTTAGAAATCTGCAGGGGTAACATTTTTCTATCATTTCTATACAATGAGATAAGCTGTTCTTTATATAGTTAATTGAGAAATAAATAAACTTTATTAATATACAAATGCAACGTAACATTCATTGTGTGATGGTTAGCAATGTTAAAATCACTCCAACTATAACTATCTATGATCAGGAAATCATTTAATTATAATTCAAAAATGTATTATGGTAATCAATTTTTTGTTACCTTGGGAACACATACTAGTAAGTCATCTCAATATACTTCACGAGTCTTTTATAAATTCAGAAATCAATTGTTAAAAATCATAAACATGATACAAATATGAGTTAAATAACATGGCAGTCTGACTGAAATGTCCCACACATTTTTAAATAAAGTCTTACATCCTAATGAATGAGTTTTATTTAGAAGGAAAAGAACATGCCATCCAAGTTATTATTACTTGACTGTATAACTTTTTTCAAAGTTGTTTTAATGCAGTCAAATTGTGTCACATTTTACAAAATGACTTGAGTGGCACCTCTGGAAAGTTAAATTTATTTGAGGGAGCTAATCATTCATGAGGTCTAAAAAAGGTATTTGCTTGTGATATGTGCAGTCATATTAAAAAACACAGAACACCATGCCAACTTTGTTAATATTTTTTTTGTGAAATAGGGCTCTAGATTTGCAATGTTCTTCTTCATATCAGTACCAATTCAGAGGTAATGTGAACACCATGTATATTGCACTATATTAGCTGATTTGTTTATCCTACTCCATATTACCACAATGTTAACACTCCACCATGATTCATGATCAGCACTTTGTTTGTTTCCATTTATGCCCACTGCTAGATTGACTGATAACATTGCCATAGGACCCTGTATTACTTGATATGCCAGATATCCCGGAGTCATCCCTGGCAATACCATCCTCATCACAACTCCTCATATATTCAACATCAGATTCATCATGGTCACTTATTGTGTCTAGTCCTGCCTCATGGCTGTATGAACATTCAGAATTGGTCTCAGAAAACATCCTTTCTTGTGCCATTTGTTTATAGTCCTGGATTGATTCATTTAGTGCCCACAGCTGGCACAGAAGAGACATGTCCAACTGCCTTAAGGTAACCTGGAATTGAAAAAAAGAAATATTCATAAATAATGGTTGACCAATATAAATGTAAAAAATATAAGTATACACTTGCATTACAAGCAAATGAACATAATGTCTAAAATTCCTTCTGCAAGTAATGTGTCAGAGAGGATGTCATTATCACGGGTGTCGAGAGTTCCTAATTTTCATTAATAAATGATTAAACTGGTTCAAACCAAATGAAAATATGTCAATATAAAAAAAAAAATGTCTTAGAACTGAAAATACACATGCTGATTTTGGCACATTTACATGCAAAAAGATCCTACAATAAAAATCAAATATATATGATCTGATCAATTCATTATCTAGAATGGCAGCAATTGCAAGTCCAACTCTCAGTTTAATATAAAGTTATTGCAAAGTTTGCACACTAGTATGCCATACCACAAAAATTTTAACAGAATTGAGGCACCTGCAAAATATCTATGTCCACTTGAATAGTGAACATGTTAGCTAATGTTAATTGTACTTTTCATAAGCACTGCAATAGTTTTTGAAGAATGTAACTATAAAGAGTTAAATGCTCCAAGATTTGGAGCAGTTATGATTACTCAAACTGGGTTAATTTGGACAAGAGGAAACTTTAAAGGCCAAACAGAGATCCTTACTATTAGTACACATGTACATATGTACTGGATTAAAAATATTACCATTTCTTTCCTTAGCTGAGTTATTGCAGCATCTAAACTTAATCTACTTCGCTTCACTGAGTTCAATCCATTCCAAGCATCTGCTGGGGGGAAATTCACCATAATTTCACCATCCTCATTGTGGTGGGCATTTCTTTGTAAACTTTTCAAATTTTGCATCTGTTGCTGGCTTTCGCTGAGGTCAGCTTGTAGTTGGGCCCTCATAGAATGAAGCCTTTCTTCTTCTTTCCACTGCGAACTCGTGGCATTTGCAAGTCCACTCAAGCATTTCGGTAAATCGGGCAGGCCATGAACAGATGCCATTTCAGAGAATAGTTCAATAGATTTATTCAACTTCACCTTTGTAACGACGAACGGCCTTCTGCAAGTAAAATCCCTCTTACGTTCAGCTTTTCTCAAAGTTCTGTATAATATTCAAAACATTCGGCACGAAATAGTAGTTTAAAAGTCGATATGCCCCAGAAAAATGTGACTTCACATACTTCTCATAGTCAGGTGCAGCACTGCTCCCTAATGAATTTAAACGGATGCCACACGATCACAAATGAATAGAGCATCATCGCAAGGTGAAGGTCAACTTACTACTAAGATGTACAATTAATATGTCGAGATAAACAGAATATTATATATACAGAGGCTCACAATTGTTATTTTTGAATAAATATGTGAAGAAATAGCAATAAGTATTCATCTGATAAATTTACGAAATTTCCAAAGCAACGACCTTGCTCTCTAGTGAAAAGAGACGGAACCGAAAAAAAAAAAAAAAGGAAAGTGCAAGTTAGTATAGNTAAGCAAAAGGAAACTTAATAAGACCCAATTTGATTTGTTATTTCCTCCGGGAGGCACAATGCCTGCGACATGTTTGAACAATTTTGATATCACACTTTTGTTTAGTTTAATTAGAGACCTGCACCCTAAGACGTCTGATGTTCCTGAGCCCAAATCTGATGTTTGGAACAACCTTCAGGCAGCCAGATCTTCTCCCGATCTACCAAGACAAATATTGGATCTGATTGAGATTAAATTTTATCGAAACAGTCTGGCACACTCGAAGTCAGTGAATATTACAGACTCTGATTATGAACTTATGTGGCAGTCAATCACAATCAGTGTACTCAACTTGGGTGTAACAACAGAACAACTGGATTCTGTTAAAAACATAACCATTGATCCAGAGAAGGAACAGGAATACATCACACAATTGAAAAACCAAGAACAGGAAGAGCAAAATTTAAAAGAAGGCTTGCATACCAGAATAAGACGAGTGGAACATGCCGTGACAGTCATTGTTGTCTTAGTGGTAGCAGCTAGCATGGGGATGGTTTTAAGAGACAAATTACCCAAATCTATTTTGGGTCTAATTGACATGTTACAGTTTGGTATGGCTAATTTAGGATCTTTTTCTTTGCTTCTATTAACCTTTATGATAACAGTAGTGGGAGTAACATTGGTGAAGGAAATGTTACAGCACCAGGCATCAAGGCTGCATGAAACAATAAAATGTGGTATGAAGCACAGAAAAAAATTCACACATATAACACTGTTGGTAAAATTTTGTCTTGTAAAACTTACCGTACTAACAAATTGAGTACAAGTATATTGGCTTCACTTTGTACATATACTGTACTTAAAATATTGAAGATGTAATATTCACTAATTATAGAGGATTATTTTAACAATATATTATATACAATATATTTTCTATGGTCAACAGCTAATGAAATGCTTGTATTTGAAATAAAAGAAAAAATGCATAGTTATCTTGAAAAGATCTTTTACAGGTTTTTCTGACCCTAGTACAGTGCAAATTGTCTCCAGGAGAGAATGGGGTGCCAGAGAAGCCTCCGGACCCATGAGCCCCTTGCTCATCCCAGTCAAGTATGTTATTATAGCGCACACAGTGTCTGGATTATGCGAGTCCGTGGAAGCATGCTCAGGTATTTTACGAGGCATACAGCAAAGGCACATGGCTGATAGAGGTGAGATTCACTTTAAAGAAATGGGCCTATTGTAATATTATGATTTTTATATGATTTCAATTAAAGTGTCAAAATAATTTTAAACTGATGACATAGTCCAGTAGTGAAAAGAAGTATATGTACAATTTTATATTTATTTTGATTTTTGTAAATATCCTGTAATGAGGTATGTTAACCTGCTCGGTGTACTCTGCTGTTACCATTCGAGCTGCCTGAAGCAAAATAATGTTTAAGTGCATACATAAGTTAAGGTAAAAGTTTTTTCTTTTCAGGTTGGTCAGATATTGCATACAATTACCACATAGCAGATGATGGCAGAGTGTATGAAGGTCGGGGACCATCAATTGCTGGGTCACACACCAAAGGGTAATATATACAAAAAAAATGTCATGAATCAGATATTCTGTGCCTTTATCATCCAGAGTTATTTATATCACTGGAAATGCCATTACTGTTTATGGTAATCTCTGCAACTCTTTGGCAACTTCGGTAGTCTGTGTCCAACATTTTTCTATTCCTGTTTGACATGAAAAATTCCTTTTTGTGGCTGTTATTATTTCCATTTTTTATTTCCCTTCATTCAGAAGCTTTTTTTTTTTTTTTTTGCTTAAAATATTACTAAGGCTTTAAGAAAAATTATATATCCTCACATTTCAGGTGGAATTTGAACTCTTGGGGCATTGCCTTCATGGGAGACTTCAGTTACCGCCTACCTAGTCCAAGGGCCTTATGGGCTTTAAAGGCTTTTCTGAAAAACTCGGTAGAAAATGGTTTCTTAGAGGAAAATTATGTACTGTTAGGGCACTGCCAGGTTGCTCCCTTTGCAAGTCCAGGAGACACACTGTACAGAGAACTTAAAACTTGGGATCATTGGCAAGACATCCATGCGTGAGCTACCAGTGTTACAAGAACCACTCGTAAGATTTGGTATTACAAACATAACTTATTTAAACGTGAGGTTTATCACAATATGCTCATTAAAATTATAATATCACTATTTGTGATAGATATGAACAGTTCCATTCTGTGTTTAAGTGAATCTCTAAAATTAAATAAATTCAAATAAATATGAAAGAACACAAGGTTTGTGTTTAAATATGTCCATCTTTTTATTCATGAAAATCTCTATAACTGAAGTTAATATATAAGTGTCACAGGATTTATGTTTGAGTATGTACACGTAACAACATTATGAAATATATTTCCAAACTGTTACATCTCTTCGTGGACCAAAAAAGCAAAGTGGTGGGTGCATCATTCTTTTTCAATTTTATCTTTCCATGGAATACTAGCACAGTCTTGAATCTGATGCTGTAAATGTAGAAATTAAACAAGATATTGCTTTTTTTTGTTGAAAAAAAATCTAATGAATGATTAATTTTAGGGTCTCTGCTGTTTGTTGAATCTCTGGTGTCTGAAATCATTACTTCTCCCTACAAAGTTATACTGAGTCTAAAATATCATGTCACTTTTCAACAGTGAAATTACTATACTGGCTCAACGATTTTACTTTTACAAAAAGGGAGTAATGCACATTACTGATCACCTGGTTCAAAGCAAGAGGCTTTTTAAAAAATGTTTTCCAGGTTGTAGAACTGAGAAGCAATAGTTGATTCAATAAAACACCTGACATTTAACAAAAAGAGGGCACTGGTTATCATTGATTTAGTCACTATCCTCACTGTCGCTGTGAGTTTCTCCAAACAACTCCTGTCCGTTAGTAGCCTCAGCAAGTGATGAGCCCTGTGTGTTATCAGCTGAATATTTTAAGGTAACAACTGTGGGAGAATTTGGAAGCCCAAATGCTATAGCAGTTCTATTCAATACAACTTTTGAGCACTGTATCTTGACATCTGGAGTGAAGACTGAGAGAATTCCTTTTTTGAAATCCCAGAGAGATATGTCCTTGGCTAGCACCATTGCCTTACTGGAGTTATGCAGGATGTAGATTGTGGAGTAAATGTCTAACTGGAAGCCTGTGTATGTTGGAAGCTTGTGCATGACTTGGTTTTCTAAATCCCACCAAACCATTTCATTGCAAATATTTCCAAAGACAACTTGTGTGGCACTGTCATTGATGGCAACTGCACATACCCCTTCTTCTTCTTCAAGTTTGGCATGAACTTTTCCCGTCATGCAGTCCCATACAACAACACAGCTGAATTTTCCAACATCATCATAGTAGGTGTGCACCAGGTGGCCACCAGTTGATGTCAAGGCAGATGTATCTAAGGTCAGAATTGCTTTGTCATCAACCAGCGTTTGAATGTGGCGCCCCCGTGTTATATCAAACACACACAGGTAGCATGAAAAGTATGAGGCCACTATCATTTTTTCATCATCACTGACAAGAAACTGAGTAATCAAGTTCTCTTTCCCCTTTTTGAGTCCTTCTATGCGGTCATTTTCATCTTGAATTTCTCTCTGGTGCCTTCTTTGTCGACCAGTTTTGGTTTCTGATCTCCTTTGCCATGGTAACATTTTGGCAGTTGTACCCCTCTTTCTATGAGATGTGACTGATGACTTGATTACATCAGAGAGTTTGGATCTGTCTTTATATATATTGAGGACTGTTTGGCCAGATTCTAAACTCCATATGACAAAGTGAGTCCTATCAGGAGATGGACTCATAACTCTCTCACCATTTAGCATGAAATATTCATTTGAAAGGCCAACATCTATGTGGGCCCCATGCAAGATACGATCATACTGTCTGGTTTCCAGATTAAACACAAGAATGGAGGTGAAATATTCTTCGTACTTGTTGATCATGCAATCTGTGAGGATAACAACATTCATGTTCTTCACCAGGAGAAGGTCCATGTCTTCTACTAAACCTCTCTCTGAACAGACAGCACTGATTTTACACTGAGTCTTGAACAAGTTCCACACTGTCACTGGCCCATTACAGTCCATTGGCTTAGCCACCACATAACGAGGATTATCATCCAGAATTGTAATTTCTTCAATGCCAACAACTCCCTGAACTGGCACTTTCTTGCTGAGACCGAGAGTGATGTCCCATACCATAAGGTTGTTGGAAGCTGATGATGCAGTCACACAGTAGCTCAAATTCAGACATGCTGCCAGGTTTGTTATTCCAGAGTGATAGCCCAAATGTCTGTGTTCCTCAGTCTCCAAGTTCCAGACAGCTAGATAGGTAGCACCAGTTTTTTGAGAGCTTACCAAACCAATGGCATGAGATCCAGACTTGTTGAATTCAACATCTTGAATACTGGCATCCATAGCACAACCTTTGATGGTTCGGATGTACAGACCAGTGCTGTTGTCAAAAATTTCAAAAATAAAGTGGTCATCACAGTGACAAGCTAGCACAAAGTACATGGGAGTTGTTCCAACAGCTCGTAGCCTTGCAGCAATGTCATTGATGTTGATAGTGTATGCTAACTGGCCAGTGTGAACATTGTGTGCATATGCTTTAGTGTCACCACGGAAACCATGCAAAATCTGGTCTCCATAGGTACAAGAGGATACTGTTGTTGATCTTCCTCTGTGGGCTGAAAGGGTTACTTCTTCTTCATCAGGAATTTCTTCAACAGGTGGACTTTTATCATCTTGACTACCTTCAACCAAATCCTCTTCATCTTCTTCTTCCTCTTCCAGCATCTGCCAAATCTGAACCTTGTTCTTTTGTTCTTGTTCCATCTTCTGTTTTCTAGCTTTTTCTTCTTCTTCTTTCTTTTCATCTTTTTCCTCTAAGTGAAAGGAGTTGACATGTGTCACTTCACCATCCAGATTCCACACATGCATGGTTTCTCCACCATCAACAAAGAGTAACAACATTGTTCCATTAGAAGCTGTTGTTGGGATCACGTAATCCTCAAGTTGTTCTATTACTCTGACAAGATGACCTTTTTCCAAACTCCAAATTTGCACAGAATAAGTCTCACATACAATGGCATACCTGTCCTGCATGGCCATTTTAATGTGATATGCTTCTTTCCCAACTCCTTTGATTGTCTTGGTAACTCTTCCAGTTTGAAGATCCCAAAGTTTCAGGGTATTGTCAAGGGATGCTGATACAGCTTGTTTGCCAGAATTGGTGACTGTCACAGCAGTGATGGCCCCATGATGTCCACCTAACTCTAATCCAGTCAAGGAACCAGGAGGTAGAAGGCATGTGGCAGAGGGAACAATAACTGGGATAGAACTTTTTGCAGCAGCATCCAACAGAGCAGGAAAGTGTGGGTACTTTCTTGGATCCTCAGAAGTGGCTGGGACATCTTTTGCCATTATGTCAAAAAGTCTTCCAATCAGTTGTGAAGCAAGCTGATGGGGATCCTTTGTCAAAACATGACAACCTCGTTTGAGAGACTCAATGACTAAATAAAGTTCCATGTCAGAACCTTCATCACTATTACTGGATTCAGCTTGGTGGTAATCATCCAGCAGCTCCCACAGGGAAGTGGAACACAGTTTAGCCAGTAACCACTCATAGTTGAGAAGACATTCAGTCTTCAGCAGCAGGGTCTCTTGTGCCATTATCAAATGGTGTGGAAGCTCATTCAGAAGTCTCAGGTTGTACGATCTTTTGATTTCCAATCCATATGTGCCTTCTTCTACATGCTCATAACACCCTGACTGTTTTCTGTACTTCTCAGTATCAGATGACTCTTCCAGAGGCCTGCCTAAGAAATATGCTGTCATTGCCTTGTGGTATGTCACTAATTCTTTGCCCTTCAGGTACATTTCTGCGTATGCTTCTTGGAAAGACCAGTGTGCCCATTTGTACAACACTTGCCCTCCATCACCAAGGATCTTGGTAACATATCCTGCATCTGTTAAGTTGTTGAGGAGACGCACCAGAATAAAACTTGGAAGCCTTGGAAAGGAAGATTTGTTCAAGGTTGACACAAACTCCATAACTCTGGAATCCTGGGTGAGCAGTTCATGTAATTCACTCTGGGTTAAGCCATTTTTGGCTGTGCAAAGAAAACCAAAGGTGCGTCTCACCAAAAGTTCCCCATGTACTTTAGCTAGATGACTAGCAAAATTGAATGCCATGGTTCGTACAGTCTTGCCAAGCTTCATTTTGTTGTGTGTGAAGGAAGTCCACTTGCAGGCTTCTCTGAACACCATATACACAAGAAGGGGGGTAGTTTCTGGCTGGAATGCCTCTAATACTACATCAAGTTGGGCATCTGTAACACATCTGCCTTCCTCATGCAAGTAGTGGTAGAACATATTGGAAGCAGCTTCTTCAGACAATGGAAGGATTTCAAAGAATTTTTCTGCAGGAATCTTTTGTTGGAGAAGATTCATTATTTCACTTCCTGAACTCATCGACAGCACAATGTGAACATTGTCTGGTAGTTTGGAAGGGATCCAAGACTGAAGGTCATTTGCAGAATCTGTAAATCACACAGTTTATACATAAAAATTACCCTAAGCATTGAATCATTTATTCCGCGATCTGTTAGAAATTTAGATTCTGTCCCCAATACAAAAAAAAATAAAAAAATTTATGAGAAAACCTCCATGATTACAGGTGGAATACAATGTTACAGCTTAAGCCTTTTCAATAGCCCAGATATGCTGGCTATTTTTCTATATTTACTACAATATGTAATATTTCAAATACTTACCTTGTTCTAATATCAACCTATTCATTCCATCTAGAATAATGAGAAGTGGTTTATCTGTATTTGCATGGGACAGCAAGTCGTCAAATTCATTCATCAGCCATTTCAAATTCTGGAAAAAAATTATCAATTTTCAACATTCTGTTCATACTACACACTGCATATTGGAAACAATTGCTGCCCATTGTTGTAGGATTCCAGAAAGTATTCATGGCGTGAAATTTTAATTTCAGCCCACATATCAAATATATTTAACCTTAAAGCTCTGTGTCATTCCATTCAAAATATTAAACAATCTAAACTTTCATTTTTTTTTTTTTTTGCCTTATCTAAAACTCTATCACCAAGACCTTAAATTTCTCAACATTATTAACCTACAGTCAATTTTCTCACCATTTATAATGCAATCTGTATGTTTTATATATAGCATACTTAAGCAATTAAGGCAATCAATCACAACTGATTTCTTTTAAGTTTTTCAAGTTTGCTTTCAGACTAGTACAATAAAATGCCTTATGAGAGTTAAAGAGACTACCATTCAATAATGGAAGCATAACTTACCATGCTTTTCAAATCGCTTGTATTCAAGTTGAATATCTGCCTTAGTTGGAAGCACAGCCCCTGGAGCAAAGTATGGAAGCTGGTGGACATGGAAGTATGACCAATACTCCGGAACAGCACCCTGAGGTCCTCCCTATGTATTAAAATAACAATTTGTCAACCAAAATGCTTGATTCTGCTACACAAAGGAGCCTGAGAGAAGCAAGCTGCAGTGCATTTATTTAACCTTAACTAATGTGCATCAAATATCAAGATGTCAATTGGCATGGCACACTGGCCAGTGTATCAAATATATAGCTGACTATACAGAGTTAAAAGTGAAGCATCTTTTCAGTTGCCTGTTGTTGTCTAAACAATAACTGCAATGTTTTTTCTACCTTTTCATCCACTCTGTTGCTGAACAAGCAATGGTGGATAGCAAAGAAGATGTGCCCATCCCTGGCTTGCCATGTACAACAATTGGTGAGTTTCTGGTAGACCACAATAAATTTCTTGTCGAATGAAGTTGATCACTTCTTCCATAGAATCTCTTTGCCCTAAATATAAAATAATTAGCACTATGTCTGACACTGTGAACCTTTTACTGCTTTGTTTGATAATTATAATTATTTAAGGTAATAATTCGATTCAACAGAAGTAAGTGTCATAATATATAATTGTCATACATGATAATTACAAATCAGATAAAAATGAATAACGGAATAAAAAAATACCCTAGGCTTACCTTTCAATGCAAAAATTAGCATGCTGGACAATGTCAGTCACATGCTTCTCATATACACCACTCAAGCTATTAATTGAACTTGCAGTGGCATATGGAAGGCTTTCTATATAGTGCTCTACCACATCTTGGAAGCTGCGACACATCTTCTTTGCATATATATTGTGCTCCCTATTTTTCGGACGATTGCCTTCAGGGTTGAATCCATCAAATGCCCAGGGAATCAAGAAGCGATGGTAGTGGTTCTTGGGAAGCTGCATAAAAATGTCATCAATGTATAAGTCTATATAACTTGCAGCTTACCATTTGTATTTGAGGCTGAAAACTGTTCCAGTTAAAATAATCACTTTAAATAATTTAACACAAAATGCACCCAGCTGCCATGTCATCCTTTAATTGATCACTCTCCCTCACACAAACACATAAAAATCTCCCCATATCTCCCCCAAACTGATCTTTACATCATCATTTCATCCAATATTTCCCTACCTCAACCATGCACATCTTGTCCACCAGTTCCTGTAGTGCAACATCTTTATCTGCATCCTTGGTCCCAGGCTGAATCAGGTCCACATAGTCTCCAGCTTTGCTGTCTTGGAGTTGAATGTCACTGAAACATCTGTAAAACCAGGCACAATTCTGGTGGTTCTCATTCTCAAAGAATCCTTGACTGTTTTCCTCTTCTTGTACTGTAAATGTAGACAGTTACAGAAAAATCAGCCATTTAATATCAAAATACCACACAATAGTAGGCTATACTATAATACCATATGGAATACACTGATGATTATAATTATACTGTAGATAAAAGCCAACCTAAACTTACTTAGGTTAAATACGTTACTTCTAACAGCTTCTAAAATGGTCATTTATTAGAAGGGAAAAATACATCATACATTCACTGACCATAAACTGTAATGCTGACTCATTTGGAATTTCAATTTAAACCAAATATTTCAGTTTTATCAAAGAATGTTTCAGTAAAAATTAAATCAGAATTTTAAAAATCTTCCTCATTTTATACTTTTAAAACCAGTT